ATTTTCAAACACGAATTTTCTGTTTTGAAAATCAATTTTAATTAAGTATATGTAAGTCGTTATTATTAATGAACTCTTGCCATTTTTCGTGCAGCTTTATAAGTCCATAGGTGTGGAATTTCTGTGATTTATGGGCGAAAAACTTAGTTAAGCGATTTTCAGTGCGTCTTTGGTCGGTGAATTTTTTACTAGTAAAAGAATTTTACAGATACCAAAAGAAATGACAATTAGTGTTAGTGCAGGGACTGCTCAATTTTTTTTCGTTAAAAGAGTTTTACAGACACCGAAAGTAATGGTTGTCAGAAGATGCGGGACCAATGTTCCCTAATATTCACTTCAATGAAAAGTATATCACAAACTTCAACAATAATCTAAATCAGGGTTGTCCAAAGTACGACCCACGGGCCGCATGTGGCCAACTATGAACGTAAGTATTTCTTTCTGCGACCCTCCAATCTGTACAGTGATTTGTATTGGCCTGCGAAAACATCTTATCTGGACAGCCCTGGTCCAGACTTTGATTTGATGAATAAAATTTTAAATGTTATGCTTTCTCCATAGTGTGTAATAACTTTATTGGTATGGGATTGAGTAATTACTTGTGTATTCCATTAATAACAAATTCAAATATTTTGCTATCACATTAAGAAACAATCAATTTTACGTCACTAACTAACTGACTGCACAGTGGATAACTTGATGGTTTTATTGTTGTTGTTGACTACACATCAAACACCAATAAAGATAACGTTGTATAGATAGAATGGATTCAGACATTTACACGGTCATAAAAATTCAAGCAAACAATACACAGAGAAGATTTTCAGAGTGGTAGCATTTTTGTTGATGAGTTTTGATTTGCGAATTTATATAGATACTTATATACAATACATATGAATGATAATTTTTACGTCGATGTAAAAAAATTGAGTTTCGAAATTATTTAAAGTAGAATAACAATATATACGATAATCATATTATAGCGTTTCAATTAAAATAATTAATTTATTTATAAGCAAAATGATTTCTAAACTATTTTAAATATTTTAACTCTCCAGACTCGGTTTGCGCATGTCAAAATTTAAGGGTTTGTCAGCTACGAAGTAGACGAAGAAAAAAAGACGTTTTCAGAAGGCCCACAGTACACGGAGTACTGCTGCTCTTGTCTTGAATTTAATACGTCGTTTACCCTTACTGGGTGCAGAACGCTGTCTGGCCGTGCTGTTTCGTGCTTCTTTTGGTTTGAACCGTCGCAATTGCCAATCGATTTTGTACAAAAAACTTGAAATGTGTATAGAATTTTGAGAATTTTGAGAATTGATTTATTCTAAATAATTTACTTTGCAATTTTACTAAACTAAACTAGACGTGAGCTAATATCTAACGAAATCAGTTCGGAAGTTAAATTGTGAAAAAATTATGTGAAATATTTTCAAAAAACAAATTTTCTTCACCATTTATGATTTGTTATACCAACAAATTGTGTGTCATCGAGAATTGAATATTGGATATATATAAAAAAGTTTTCTTCGTACTCCTCAAATGTGTGCTTTTGGATATTTAATACTTTTTTCGCTAATTTTAACAACAATTTTGGTTACTTTATTAATTTTTGCGACGACGTCGAAGAAATTCTTGATCGAAATTCTAAGTTTCGATGATATGCAAAATGAACAACAGCAAATGCAGCTGCAATATTTTTTTGCGGAATGATAAATCCCAGAAAAAATTAATTGAAATTAATTAATTTTGATTTAATTAAATTTAATCCTTTTATTTCGAAATTGGTAAAAAAATGTGCAAAATTTTATCGTGAAAAATATCATGAATATTTTAACTTTTTCATTTCGTAGTCCTTATATTATATATTTTTTGTATAATAAATGTGTGGGAGTGGAAGTGGAAGTGGAAATTGTAGACATATTTTGTGTAGAGTTCTCATACAACTGTAAGAATTTGTAGACTGTAGACTTGACACTTTTTATTACTTGTTATAATAATGAACGGCAACACGAAAATATATTGATAAAGGTCAAGACAACAGAAATGAAGGATATATACATTAAGAGATATATGTGAAGTATAACCGCGAAGGATAATTAATGTAGATTTCGCATGTGAAAATGTATGACTAATATTGCTCCAAAAATCAAAATACTATTTAAGGAATTACGTTCTTTGTATTATTCATAAAACATATTTTGCATTAATTAAAGTTTAAAGAATTAAAGAATTTATTTAATTAATGAAATGTGTGAAAAAATTGAGAATATTACATTTAAATTCTTCTCAAAATAAATATTTAAAAATTCACAAGAAAAAAAATCAATCACCTATTATAATAATATAATATATAAAATTATATGCATAATATATATATATATATATAATAAACTTTTAATATGTATCACAAAAATAAATTATGAAAAATAATTTTTATAATTTTTTTCTAACAAAGTTTAAAAATACAAAATTACATTATTAAGTAATTATGTTCATATATTAACATATAATTATAATAAAGTGTTTGTTATATATCTATGTCATCCATAAGAAAAGAGATTGTAGGTATTTTGAAAATGTATTTACCACCCACAGAGCAATTTAGAATTTAATTAAAACCTATTTGGACTAATTTTTCAATTTCAATGCTCAATTAGAAAATTTGATTAAATTTCCAAATTTTTCACATATCTTTGTACACATATAGTTTTAAAATAATTTACATAATCCAGCTGAAGGCCATTGTCTCCATTGCTGAAGTAATAGCCCAAAATGTATTTCATTAACTTTTAAGTCTTATAATAAATGAAATTAAAAAATTAACATAATAGTTAATAGGACAAGTCTATACATTTGTGTTATATACTACATGAGTATTATTATTTTTTTCTAAGCCTTGAGCTATTTCTATCTCATTACTAATAAATTGAAAAATGCCATTCAGTAAGATTAGAATGCCTTTTTTTAATTTTGTTGCTATCAGAATTCAGTAACTGAAGAATTCAACTGCTATTGGTTTTAAAATTATAAACCTTTAGATTTTTAGATGCCGACACTATCATACATTCGATACTACACACAATCTAAAATTATTCACATCTTCACATATTCTCAAATAATCATATATTCAAAGACACATAACCATAACAGAATTTATTTGATAGACGATCTTATAAGTGAAAAATAGTAATTACTATGTTTTGCTATATATACAGATAGTTATGGTATTTATAGTATTTATTATATAGCATATTCCTATTTAATAAGAATTATATGACTATTAATTGTCTGCTGTAATTTGTAATCCTTCTTAGGAAACGGAGAAGATTTGGAAGACGTGAGCAATAGAAATTTGAGCTCTTTATGATGTTAGGCTCGTGTACTTTAAGTCTAAGCCTTGAGAGAGCAGGATAGAAGGTTAAGAAATGCTCATTATATCATCGTCTGCTGAACAAAGTAGCTAAGAGTATACATAAATTTTATGATCTCGATGTAAAACAATTTCTTTTTGTTTGATGGAAATAATCAAAAACCACAGTGTGAAATCTAAGCTCACTTAAACAACCTCTTAGTAATGAACAATAAAAAATGTTAGCCTTTACAGCGTAAAGTTTCGGGTGCTGGAAGCCCTTTCCAGTAATCAACGGCAAAAACCGAATATAATGGGTTTAATAGTTAGAGATCTTAAGAGAGAAGACTATACTTATTTGCGTAAATAATGTTAATAGGCTACACTAAACTATTTTTATATAAAAACATATATTATATTATAATATTTATTTACAAATCCTGACAGGCTTCCCAACATCGGCCTATCGAATCTCAGAATGGTTACAGGCTCCTCGGGGAGATATGCAGATCTGAGATCAATTATTGCTTAGTCTGATTAAATGATAAACAATAATCCAGTCAAGGCGTAAAGAGGGGTTTTGAAGATACCTCGCAGTTAATAGTGAGTAAAAGTGCTCAAGTGCACTGGCTCAAATAACTTCAACATAATAAAATGAATTTCATCTTTCCAAAATTTTTGAATTTTGTGCGTTAATATTGAAGAAATTAGAAATATGATTTAAAATATTGATCTAGATTAAGTAGTATATTGTATTTAGTAGTTCCTATCTATGCTGATTTAGGCATTGTGTATTTTGGTATGATGTTTTTATTCAAGCGTAATAGCTAATTTATTTATAAAATTTTTTATTCTTATTGCAATGATAGTTTTAATTTAATGAATAATATATCTTCGTAATATTTTTGAAGTAAATAAAAATATAATTAATTGTTTAATAATGTATATTGTATAATATCACAACCTTAACTTAAGTTATACTAAATTTTTGATAAATTTTATGGGCAAACATGGCGTATGAGTAACTTTTTTACACAAAGAATTCTGATAAAATATTAAGTATTCAAATAATAATAATACTCCACTTTCCCATATTTATAATGAATAATGAAATTGTTTTAGTTTTTATTTAAAATCATTAAAATGTATTTTTGTTTTTTTTTTTTTTTGTTTTGGAACCATCAATAGTGCATGCGCTGTTAAAATCACATATGAACATTTCCATCAGACATGGAATCATTCAAAGTTTGTAGAATTTCGCTCTCATGCCAAGGAACGGTGTAGAAAACTCTCTAGAATTCGTGATTTCGTGCTCAACATTCTTCTTTTGTTGTTTTTCTCCTTCATTTTGACAGTTTTATTGATTGTCATGAATTTGTAAACATAAATAAAAGCATGAAAAATATTGGAAAAAGAGAAAAATCTGGGAAGAGTGACTTTTCTAAAATGGAAAACAAAAATCCTTTGCTCTCATTCACGCACGACGAGGATGAAGTGTTTGTCATTGTACTAATATAAGCGGATTGTGTTTTTATTTCAGGCGGAAGTGTCTTATAAAATATTGAAAAATACAAAATGATATAAAACCAAATTAAAATTAAAATAATAAAAGTGTAAAAATATATATCGGTATATATTTTAACGAAAACAGAAGTGTTAAAAGTGATTAACATTAAAGAAATATAACAATTTTCAAAGTGCAAATGCTTTAACCAACAAGGATATCTTCCAACTACAGTCGATTTTGAAATCGACTAGCTCTTAGTACATTTTTTAAGGTAACAGCTTTTCTTGATAAAATAATAATTTAAATCATAATTTAAGTAATAATAATAATAATGAAATCAAAGTGTATAGTAATAGTATAGTAATTTCATTATACAATATTTTGATCCATAAGCTGGCAGTTTGTCCGTGGATTCTATAAGGGAAACCCAATGACTACGATGAGTCATACAAGAATTGGAAATATTTGTGGATATTTGTGGATAAGAGAATCCTTTTGGAAATGGATTGTAAATTACTTTAGTGTGTGTTATTTTTCATATAATAAATAAAACAAAGAGCTAATATTAGAATTTAAAACATTTGCAGGAAAATATATACGTAATTTATATGACGCAGGTTGAAATATTAAATTTATTCGCAACTAGAAAAATATTAATTAAGAATTCATATGCGAATTCATATATAACTATTTTTATAATAGTAATTAATCGATTTTTTTTTGGTAGGCACTAGGTCGTCGTGTTAAAATTTAAGGTTTAAGTAATATAAATAATGTTATTCATGAAATATTAAAATATAAATTTTTTTTAAATTTGTTGATACTTACAATTTAATCAGCGTCATTGAATCAGTTGTGTGTTTAAACTATTAATCAGCCCAGATCAAAATATAACATATTTTTCTACATAGTTTTTGCTTATAGAGTTTCCGACTTCAATGCACTTTTTTTTAAGCTACTTATAACTTTTTTATATAAAAGTTATTATTAATAATCTAGATCTACATTATAAATTGGTGCTACTTGATCTAAACGACCAATTAAATCCAATTATTGGTCCTAAATTCATAGTTTTTGTTAGTTTTTGAGACATTTGTTTATCAATATCCAGGCAGACGACCGATGAGCATCGCTAAATTTATTCATATATTATGTTTAGTGTCCAGCATCTATCTTACTGCATTACAAATATCTTGACACACCTACTATATTTATCTAAAAAAGTGTGAAGATTATCTACTTTTCTTAAACTTTTAAATAAGAACTGTAAATAAAATACCATAATTATAATGAATGGACTTTTTGTTTGAAAAACAATTGAAGTGATCTCTCAATTTTTAGTTGCAGTTCAGTTTTTTTTTAAAATATTCTATTTATTTTACTTACTTACTTCCTGCTGTCCTTCTCTCCTAAGTAGAGCATAGGTCCTAAACGATTCCTTTAAATCTTATTCTGTTGCCTGCTTTTCTCGTGATTTGGTTCTGAGAGTAATGTGCGTCTTTAAACTCCTGGCCTGAGGCTACCTTCTGATTTCCAGCGTAGAGCTGTTATGCAGGATGATGTTTTCCTAAGTTTTCCTGTGGCCAATCCACTTCCATTTTCTTCTTTTTATTTCAGTGGCGGCTTGTGTTTGTTCTGTGCGTTCCCAGTGATCAGTATTGGGTATGCGCTCCGGCCACCATATTTTCAGTATTCTTCTTAAACATTTATTTATGAATACTTGGATGCGTGATTAAATAGAGGTTTTTGTTTTTTCGTGGCACAGGAACTGAGTACGTCAATTTGGTTTTGTAGCTACGTACAGAACACATGATGGCATCCAATGTCGAAATAAATCTTGTTTTACGCCAGTATTGACCCCAAAGGGTTTACTATTCACTTTGATTTGAAGATACTTTAATTTGGCTTCAGAGTTATTATCTATACAATTATTTTTATCTTTTTGTACCGTAGTTAGAGCATAAGGTATGAAGATATCAATGGGATCATGGTTTATTATTGTCGCTTCTAATAATAACACACAGGAGGATATATAACATATAATGAGGTAGTCTTTTATTTTTTTTTTTATTCTTATTAAGGGAAGTTTTCTTTGGTTAAAACTTATCTTTCACTTGCTTAAATAGGGTGCGTGAAATATTGTCCATTCTGCTCACTTTAAAGTTTCCGGCATACAATACGAGCTACATTTTCTATTGTTTTCAAAATGGCTTCTTAAACTATTTAATTTTCCAGACGAAATTAAGGAGATTCGATAAGTCTTCTTCAACTCCGCCAAGCCAGTAGAGAAACGGTTTTCTAGACAATGGAATTGCTTTAGTTGAACTTCCGGGCCGAGGCATAGAAAGTAATTGATAAATTTCACTCTATTTTCATCATGATACCTTCAGCATAGAATGAGCCAGCGTAGAAGCATTGGTGCAATAGCACAGTGATACGTCACGAAATGCAGATCTGTTAAAATCCAAAATCTTTTATTCCTTTGTAACCTAGACAATAGAATCCTAACAATGTCATACTCTCCGCGATTAGTTCATACGTCATTGCAGTTCTTTACTGCAATGATGAATTCATTTATGCTGCTAAGACAATTCTCATATTGGAAATATGATAAAAGAAAGCAATGAAGTTAAATAGGTTTTTGTTAAATAATCTAGTTTTTTATAATCGATTATAAATTTATGGCAGACAGATAGGAGTTCAGATTTCTATTACTTTAGAATTGAAACATTTTAAGCAAAAATTTTTGCATGAGATGAAAAAAAGGATTGTAATTAAACAACTCCTTCTATATTTGTCTAATCAAATCTTTGATAATTATAATTAAATAGTGAGTGGACCCTTGCCGCCTCAGCAGCCAGGTCGAGAGCTACATAGCCAAACCCTTCCAAATATAGAATCGCAGCATTAATATACAGAAGAAAATCAGAGGTTTCTATTATAATATCTGTTTTTACAGGGCACTGGACCATAGAACGACATGGAGCTAGACTTGGCCTACCCTGTGGTATCTCCTGAAATGCGTGTCTACCAGCTCTCGGAAAAAAGAAACCAGATCACTTGGTGTGTCTATGTCCAGGTTTGGTCAGAACTAGGCTTAAATTTCTAGGGGTCCCCTTCTTCAACACACTCGGCGACACACTCTCTAGTATTAGCATTGGCCGGATTCTTGCCTTTATGCTTCTGGTTGGTTCTAGCTTGTCCTTCTCTTTTCTGCCCCCTATTACAAGAATTACAATACAATGTTACTGCGGATGAGTGAGCTATGAAAGTAAATACGATAATTTTTCATAGCCTAAATCAAGTTAAGTCCTAGTTCTTAATTCTTAAGTCTATAGGTCGCATATTGTTGTTTTTATTCTTTATTCTTTAGTTATTATATTTTTAAAATGTTACTTAAACGCAATAGCAATACCGGCCGTTAATGTAGTCTCTAAATAAATAGCTTTCAAAGACATATTTTTAGAAGAATTTAAATGGTAATCAATCATATGTAATAAACTTGTATTCCTTAAATAAAATTGAAATCGATGTCCACTTAACGGTGCAAACCTTGGACGTATGACTGTATGTAAATTTAATAGCCAGCAGAAGTCGTGGAATGCAAAAGTATTGAGATGTGACTTACTTAACAAATTTTCCATGAGTCATGAATTGAAGTGAATGAATGGCGGTCACAGTATCCTCGCAGTTGCTCGCATTGTTGTTGTTCCATTTTTTACGACAGTTTGCATGACTGTGTGTTGCGTCTCCAGCCATTAAATTTCGTCTCGTATAACGGCCAATAAAACTGGTAGCGCAGTAAACTTGGCCAAGAGCACTTTACATTAACAACTTGACATTTGCACGAGTTTTCCAGCATTTCACAGTGGTAATTAAATGCTACAAGCTACAAGCTACAAGCTTTTTTATGTATTAAAGCGTTCAATAAATCGAGTCACCAACAGCACCAGCGGCGTTGGGATGAGAACTGCTTGTGTGCAGGACTCCATGAGCCACCACGCAAAATTATGCTCCGCATTTAATAGTTCATTTTACGAACAGCAACAATGGCTTTTAACAAAAAGTCCTTGCGTTGCTTCCATGCTTTGTTAAATGTATTTTTTGCATAAATTACATTGTGGCACGTCGTGGGAGCTACATTATTAATTTGCTTTTAAAACTTTTTCTTTGCTCCTTTGCCCCTGCAAAAAGGTACTTTAATTTTAGAAAATGCTCGGTGCAGAATTATGTGCGACATGGCAGTGGATTTTAGTAATGGCACGGAAGCGAACTTCTCCAGAACTTCAAGTTTAAAATCGCAAAGTATTAAAGTATAAAAACTTAATAGAAATATAAGTGTACCCACCTGCGTTTGCTGCACTCATATTTTACTTCCCATAAATGCTACTAAATCCAAACATTTGTAATAAAATTCCATTATTGTAGATATTCTCCGAAAGCTTATTTAATATTAATGCACGCAGATATTCATATTTTGAAATAAAAAATAATTTAAGGGGTTTTAGTGTTTACACTTGTGCCCCCCATACATTTAAAAGTTGCACGTAACTTATGTTACTTAACTTAATGAGGTCATAACTTTTACGCAGAATTTCAATTAATTAACATTGAAATGTACAATTAGCCTTTAATAAGAATATGAAATAATTATAAATAGATTTGTTAAGTAAATATGTTTTATGAAGAAAAGTGACTTACTAAATATTTAATCAAATATTTTATTAAATATTGTAAGATAACATATATTCAGTTTAATTCTTGTTTGAGATTACAATATTAGAAGAGCTTACCCAATCTATTAATCTTTCTCTACACAATGGAACAAGTTCAGATATATAATTTGTGGATAGAAAAACTATATATAAATTTAGCCAAAAAAAAAATCTTTGAGTGAGGTATTATTTAAAAGAGTCTTTAATAAGTTCTAGCAAGAAGAATTAAGTTGGTTCTTAAATAAAAAAACACTTTTCTGTGTTCTGAGTCACGGGAAAAAAATAGAAACTTTTACTTAAACAAACTAGAATATATAACTTCCAGAAAGTTTATTGATGGTAGAATATTCTGGTATATGACTAAAAAATACGTTAAATATATATAAATAATAACCTAAGTTAATTATAATAAATGTTTAATAAGTTAACTGCGTTATGAAGAATCCACGTCCGTTTTTAGTAAGTCCAGGGGCATGAAGGACACAAGCGAAATTAAAGAGCTGATTGTCTCGTCAAATGAAGAGATAAGCCATTCTATACACTGAAGAGAAGGTACATTTGTAGAGAAAGTAAGTAGCGAGAGAAAATATAATTTGTAAACTACTGGATAAATTGTAACAGTCAAAGACTGGCTAAGAGCTTTATTAATCTATCCTCCTTGCAATGAGCAGAGAGTATATCGAAATTCTCATTGGTTTTTCAATAGTGCAATTTAAGTTAAGGTATCATCTCAACAATCATAATATACCGCTTTTGTGTAATAGATCTCTCCATCTTTGGGACAGAACCGTTGGCCCAAAGCACGTATGTGAAGACACAACACCGTAAAAGAATGTGTTTATTCAAAACCTTATAATCGGTTAAAGTAAACAAGTTTAGCACTATTAACAACCCAATAAATAATAATTACTTTTCAGTATATAACAGACTCAAAAATTGATATAAAATTATGAAGCAAAAAGTCATAGTGACTATTTTTATAATAGTCTATTTTTATTAAAATAAAACTATATTATTTAAATTGATGTGAGTTTAATAAAGTGTTGTTTATATTCTATATATTTATTAATATATACATTAAATATACTTTCATATTGATATCTTTTCAGAAAGTAATAGAAAAAAAAGGCCTTTGGGCCTCTTACCGCCAAGATGTCGTCTGTTAAGGTGGCGGTTCGAGTGCGTCCCTTCAACTCACGCGAAATTTGTCGAGAGTCAAAATGCATTATAGAAATGAGCGGTGCAACTACCGGTAAGATAATTTATACAAATTATTTTAACTTATATATTGTAATATATATTTAATCAATATTCAATTTTAACTAAAAAATTATAATTACCTCTTTTATTACAGCTATAGTGAATCCGAAAGTACCACCAAACTCAAGTGAAGCTGTAAAACGATTTAATTTCGATTATTCCTATTGGTCACATAATGTACGTACTGCCTAGTATTTTAACTAAAATTCGTTATTAATATTTATCTATAACATACTCGTAACATGTAATGTTCAAATTATAAAATTTATTTAAATGCAGCCAAAAGATGAGGACTTTTCTACGCAAGAAATGGTCTACAAAGATATTGGCGAGGAGATGTTACAACATTCCTTTGATGGTTACAATGTCTGTATATTTGCTTATGGACAGACCGGTGCTGGTAAGTCGTATACCATGATGGGTAAACAAGAGGAGCATCAGGAGGGTATAATACCGATGATATGCAAAGATTTATTCAATCGTATCCATGACACTGAAACCGATGAGCTCAAGTATTCGGTACATATATATATTAACATGTATAGATAATTATTTATCCTAAATATCCTTATAATAATACAGGTTGAAGTATCCTATATGGAAATTTATTGTGAACGTGTGCGTGATTTGTTGAATCCTAAGAACAAAGGCAATTTACGTGTTCGTGAACATCCTTTGTTGGGTCCCTATGTAGAGGACTTATCAAAATTGGCCGTTACAGATTATCAAGATATACATGATCTCATTGATGAAGGCAACAAAGCTAGGTTAGTTCATGTTTATTTTTTGGAATTTAATATCTAACAACAAATCTTTTTTCAATATTTTTCATAATATAAATGTATATATATCTTGGATTTTTTCTATAGAACTGTTGCTGCTACCAATATGAACGAAACTAGTTCACGTTCTCATGCTGTATTTACTATTTTCTTTACACAACGTCGTCATGATACTATGACAGATTTGACTACTGAAAAAGTTTCCAAAATCAGTTTAGTCGATTTGGCTGGTTCCGAACGTGCTGACTCTACTGGTGCTAAAGGCACACGTCTAAAAGAGGGCGCTAATATTAACAAGTCATTAACTACTTTAGGCAAAGTTATCTCTGCTCTGGCTGAAATCGTAAGTACTTTGGTTTTGCGTCTCATTTTTAAAATATCAAAAATATATATATATTTATGAAACTTGTAAATTTATAAATAATTATTATATATTTTGCGATTTCATAGTATTCATCTGCATTTAATTCTTCATATTTTTCAATTGTGTTTCAATTTCTTTTTTAAAATGTCTGCACTTTTGCAAAAAAATATATATGAATATATATATCGTATATATAAAATCGGATATTGCTGTAAAATGTTAAAAACTATTCCAAATTTAAAACACCTCAATTATAACGTTAAAATTAAAAGTCCGTAAGTATATAATAAATTGTTTTGTTTTAAATGTTGTGTCAGTAAAAAAAATTAAATCTTTTTTGTATGTATTTAATTTGAAACCTGTAAAATATTTTTAAAAATATAAATAATTAAATTTTTATAATTTTTACAACTATATAGTAATTTTTAATTATACTTAAATGAAAATAAATAAGTAATTTTTATTTTTAATATCTTATTTGCATAAACCTTTCATATATACATAATTACTATTATTATACGCAATTATATATATTAACGGTTTAGAATTAAAAAAAAATTTAAAAAAATTAAAAATATTAATTTAATAATTTTATCGATTGAATAAAGAAGAAATGGAATGTTTAGAGATAGCCAATTTATAAGATAAATTATTAAGCTATGATGTATTTTTATTTGTGCTATTGCCGTACATAAAGTGTTAAAAAAAAGTCACTTTGAGATTCCAAGTTTGTTTAAAAATTGGTTTTAATAGGTTCTATAAAATTATATATATAGTAATGTAAAAGCTGTATCTAATTAAAACGCCAAAGGTTGACGTTTGCTTTAAAAAAGACATTGTTAGCGAAACTTTCAACATATTCATATGTAACTATAATCTATATAATTGAGGTATATATTAAAAAATATAAATAATTATGCTTCGCTAGTGCGAAGAAAAGAAAGCTAATCTACAGCCAGATAATCAGATCAGCACTACTTTATGGGTGTGTCGCATATAGCAAAGCTGCCAACTCTACTATAGAGAAGCTGCAAGCTGCTTAAAGTCAGGCTCTCCGAAGATTCTTCAAAGTGCCTTGGTACATCAGCATAAATGACATGCTAAAATACCTTAGAAAAGACTCGGTCAAAAAATACATAAGGGACTGAGCCATGAAACTATTCGCAAAAACCGACAAGTTAACGTACTTAGCACTATCTAATCTCATATCTTAGATCGAATTATCAGTCATCGAATAATCACGAAGCTTATACATAAATTAGTCAAGAAGAAGGGTGGAACTCTGCAGAAACCCCCAGCTATCAAAGAGTATTGATTTCCATATATATTTAAAAAATGAACAATCTTATAAATAAAAAAATTAAAAAACTTATAAGCATAAAATCTCAATCAAGCACAAAATAAATAGCGTTAGGATATGTAATTTTCAGTATTTAAGCAATACTGCATGCGTAGTACATATTTATGCTCTATATCGTTTCCAAAAATGATTTCCATTAGATTTGCTTTTATACAAAACTTTTCATAATAATATAAACCTTTGTGTCATTGTGCTAATCACTTCTATCATTCAGATTATAGTGCGGAATCAATATTTTTATAGCATTCATTCATATTATAATCTTAAGAAACTGTGTTTTTAATCGTCTTAGTTTTTAATCGTGTGAATAGCATATTTAGAAGTAATTTCCATTTACATTCTTTCCTTTATTTGGCATACTATTTTTTATTTTCAAATACAATAATAAAATATGTAAATAAAGTTAAATAAAAATAAAATCTATAACTTCATAGGCATCTAAGCAAAAGAAGTCAAAGAAAGCTGACTTTATACCTTACCGTGATTCTGTTCTCACTTGGCTATTACGTGAAAATTTAGGCGGTAACTCTAAAACTGCTATGATTGCGGCTATATCTCCAGCTGACATTAATTACGATGAAACTCTAAGTACTTTAAGGTATATAAAATTTTTTTTTGAAAATATGTGTGCAAAATATATATAATAAATAAAATATATGTATTTACGTATAAATAATTATTGTATTGCAATAATCCAGGTATGCCGACCGTGCTAAGCAGATCGTGTGCAAGGCCGTTGTTAACGAAGATGCAAACGCTAAACTTATCCGAGAACTTAAGGAAGAAATACAAAAGTTGCGAGATCTCTTGAAAGCCGAGGGTATTGAAGTACAAGAAGGTGAGAAACGTTTAAATTAAGATTTGAAATCCTTGGCCGTTCTATTAACTTTTCATAGCACATGATCATATAAAATTTTTAGTTCCTATATAAAAATATATATGTATGATTTTTTATAATTAGTTTAGTTACAAAAACAAAGCATACTATGTATACATATTTCATTTAGGGCCCGATGGCAAAGTGGTTTGTGAGAAGCGCGATCCAAATAGTAAGTAACATGAATGGAATGAAAAAGGCTTTTGCTAATATGCAAATAATATCTTTAAAATATTCCTAAAACAATTTTTTTTTAAATATATCTACACCAATATAATTTTTGAAAAAATATACTCGTTATATGATTAGAAAATAATTACACATATACGTTTAAAAAAAATACATTTTTTGTGTGTCTATTGCAAACATTTTATAAGTGCAATTATTTTTTGCTTCAGGACGTTTTACGATTTGATGTTTGTGTAATACATAATATTAATGTCCTCTTTATGTTGCTCTCTCTTACACTTTTAATAATAATAATTGCATATTATGTGTATTTTAAAAACTACAAACTATAAATCTTTAATTTGTCAGGTTTGTTTTTTAATACATTTGTGTTGCAAAGAAAAATATTCATTTATCGGACTATCTAAAAATTTTTATTATTTAATTTTAATTTTTGACAGGATTCTATTATCTAAGAACTTGGGAAAATAAAGTTTTTAATCTAAATATAAGTTTTATAATAACATAAAATCGAAAATCTTTTCCGATATGCTTTTGGTGCAATATTGTATACCACAGATGTTTCACACCTTAGTAAAGAGGATTGTTTAAATATGACCGGCCAATAAAATTTTAAACATCAATTTATTATAGTGTATATATAAGATATCCGTATTTGCATCATAGAGAGTTAAAATACATTTTAGTTAAAATTAATTTTTTTAGATTAATTTGTAGCAGTGCCTTGCAACCCACGAATTTGTTTTGTTCTAAAAATTGACTGAACGAACAGAAAACCTTAAATATCTGTTCTGGATGTGCAAGTGTAAGATATGGATATAAGCATCCGGTTCAGTATTCTCCCCTCCTCATTCAGAGTCACCATTTCCCGGCATATATGACATTTTGTCACCAGATAAATCTATCTTGTTAAGATGAAAGTGTCGGTTGTAATTTTAGGTAGTCTACTAGTAACCTAAGTTATATTCGTCTAAGGAGATACTTGATATATATATGCTTCGACATTTGCTAGTGTGTTCCTATTAAAAGAAAAATTGGTTACTGAGTATTCAAAAGAGGTGTAAATCGAACAACATCAAGTATTTGATATAAAAACTTAAAAAAAAATTAACTTGAATTGCGTAAAATTAGCGATTATCATTATTTTATAGTGTTTGAAAAATATATAACTCACTCTATGACTTTCAATAAAAAGCCTTAATATAGCACTAAATATCAGCACATATTCCATAATATTAATCATCTGAAAAATAGAAGAGTATTTTACAAAAGAAATCGTATTCAGCTTTCAATGCAACGAAACATTGTATACCCTATTGGTATACGTTAAAGTTGTTGACATTATGTCGATGACAGCGATTTGATTGAATTTATGTGAAAATTTTGAATTGGAATTGTATCTTAGCAAAGTATTCAATATTTTAAACTTTATAATAATAGTCCAACAAAAGTATAAAATTAAGTTTAATGAATCAAGTGGCCAGTGACAAGATTTCTCCTGTGAAGATTTGATATTAAAGTGTTTATTCCTATTCTAAAGTTCGATTAATATTTTCCCATTCCAAGTATTTATGTTTTCAAAACGATAAAACTGTAAGGGGAGTGGTGATCGATATTATATTTGAGTAATCGAAACGGAATGCAGGCATAGTTATTCATGAAACCTCTGTCATTGTGGAAGATTGTGGAGTATTGCTGTAAGCTTAGATAGAGTAGTGTATTTAATTCTAAAGAGAGTTACGAAGATAATTCGAATAATATAAACACAATAGCTTTTATAAATGAATTTCACAAAAGTAGTCACTCATAGCATTTATTTTAGTAGGTTAGATATTTAACAATTGATGCAATGGATTTGTTTTTAGTATTCCCTTCACCGAATCAATAGAGATTTCGTAGGCATTATTTGAAGTCCTTTCACTTCTTCGTTAATTTTATTAAATATTCGTGCGTATATTTGTATTTATTTATGTTTTACAATTGGTATTGCTTTGTTCATTGTACATAATCCACAATATTATATATGTACTATATAAAATTGAATACAGTCTAACCTTATCTAATCATAATCCTGCTATGCACGCCGCCTTTTTGCACAAATTAATTGGAAAAATATTCTAATGTGAAAACTTTACAGAGGATGAAATCAATAACAAGGTGATTGGTAATTCTGGAAATATGAAGTCTCCTTCAAAGACGCGTAATCGAAATGGTTCAACTGCTGAAATGGCTGTAGATCAGTTGCAAGCAAGCGAGAAACTAATTGCAGGTAAGACTCATACGTGATTTTCAGTTAAATAAATATATGTATGATGATTTTTAAAAGAACTCAATGAAACCTGGGAGGAGAAATTGAAACGTACCGAAGAAATACGTTTGCAGCGTGAAGCAGTCTTTGCAGAGATGGGTGTCGCTGTTAAGGAAGATGGTATCACTGTTGGCGTATTCTCACCGAAGAAAACGCCACATTTAGTTAATCTAAATGAAGATCCAAACTTGTCTGAATGTCTGTTGTATTATATAAAAGATGGTATAACACGTTTGGGCACACATGAAGCGAACGTCCCACAGGATATACAACTATCGGGTTCGCATATTCTAAAAGAGCATTGCACTTTTGAAAGTCGCAACAGTGTAGTAACACTTATTCCTCATAAGGATGCACTAGTCTATTTGAATGGACGTAAACTGGTTGATCCAGAAGTTTTGAAGACCGGTTCTCGTGTTATTCTGGGTAAAAATCATGTATTTCGTTTCACAAATCCAGATCAAGCACGTGAACTGCGTGAAAAGATAACTGATAATGCAGAAAATGAGAATGAGAAATGCGATACACAGCAAGTCGATTGGAACTTCGCACAGTGCGAGTTATTGGAAAAGCAGGGTATTGATTTGAAAGCAGAAATGAAGAAACGTTTGGATGTGTTAGAAGAACAATACAAACGTGAAAAATTACAAGCTGATCAAGAGTTTGAGGAACAGCGTAAGGTATGTATCTAATCTTGTTATCCATATTTTAAATGGAACTGTAAAAGTAATGAAAAATATTTGCTTGTCAGTCGTACGAGGCACGTATTGATGCTTTACAAAAGCAAGTTGAGGAGCAATCGATGACTATGTCAATGTATAGCAGTTATTCACCAGAAGATTTTCACCAAGAAGAGGATATATTTAGTAAGTAATATAAAATTATAATAATGCTGGAATGTGTATTTCTGATGAAAAAGTTGTGATATTATTGTTAAGAGAAATTAATTTTTGTAGTTTATGTTATTTTTTAAGTACCCAACAATTCCTATTAAGTGAATTGAGTAGCATTTCGGTTGATTGCTGATATAACTATGGGTAATAATGATGACAAATTTTACTCAGTAATAAATGCGAAATAGCAACTACGCCTCATTGGTACATTTGGTGTCCATTTCGCGTTGTGCATGATCTTAAGAGACCACAACGCGTTTTGTTTGTGCAATAAGCAAATTAAGCAAACTAACTTGAGCTTATTATTTTATACTTTATTATGTACACTGTTTTATGAAATTAGTTCAACACATTTAAATCAAAATAACAATTAAGAGTTTAAAAAAACATTCTTTAAGATTAATGTACTATTATTGTGTATTTATTTGTAATTTTCAGCAAATCCATTATATGAATCCTGTTGGACTGCACGAGAGGCGGGTCTTGCTGCTTGGGCTTTTCGTAAATGGCGTTATCATCAGTTCACTTCTTTGCGAGATGATCTCTGGGGTAATGCAATATTCTTGAAAGAAGCAAATGCAATTTCTGTTGAGTTAAAGAAAAAGGTACTTTTCTGTGAAATCTGCTGAAACTAAATGTTCATAACTATTTTCTTCTTGGGTTTTTAGGTGCAATTCCAATTTACACTTTTGACTGACACTTTGTATTCTCCCTTGCCGCCAGAGTTGGCATCTTCTGCTTCACCTATACAAAACGAAGATGAATTTGGCATACCACCAGTTTCAAAAACTATTGTAGCAGTTGAAGTAACCGATACTAAAAATGGAGCTACTCATTATTGGTCCTTGGAGAAGTTACGGTAAGTCGTAGTGAATATGTCGCACAGTTTCGTTGAAAAGTGCTTCTTTGAAAGTACGAAATTCACATTCATTGTTTTTGCATTTGGTTTTATGATTTATTTGAAGATTATATGACGAAAGTTAATACTAAAAAGAGTTTGCATATATTTGAGATATCCTCAAAGGCATTTAGGCATTTTAATGACTATTTTTGATTTATTTAATAATTATATATTTTGTTGTTACTTACCGGAACGTGCATGGTGGTTGTAATTTAATTTAAAATACAAAAATTTAAACTCAATACTTTACTATGTAATGATAGATAAAATTTAAATAAAGTTATATTGTTTTCCATGTATTTATTGCTGTTAGTTGAAAATGCACTTCCACCATTTACGCTATCACTTTCCAAATGCATCTACATTCAACTCTTAAAATAAATAAATGTAGCTAAAGCGATATTCTATTCTATATATTGATAAGTTAGTTTAATTCTTATTACTATTATTTTTTTTATTAATTATTAATTAAATTAAATTATAAGATCCTATGTATAATTTGTTTACTTTATTTAAAATTTACAAAAATTTACATTTACGAAAATAAAAAAAATACTTCAAATATAACAAGCTATCGCCTTGAATTGATGCGCCAAATTTACAATGTCGAGAGTCCTCCATCATCAATGCTATATGATACTTCATCATTATGTGACGGTATCGTTACTTCATTGACGAACAATGAGCACGATCAGAATTCGTCCTGCTTAACCCTCACATATTCCTCAGTAACAACCATCAACAATCCCACTAATATGCATGAAGATACATTAAAGAATGGACTTATGACTAGTCGTATAAATACAGATGGTCAGCAATTAAAATCGCAACAAACGAATTCCAGTTCACCATCTCGTCTAACATTGGCGAATCTTATGCCTTCTAGGTTTGCGTTCATTTTTCAAAGGTTTTATTATTTAATCTTTATATAAGTTATGATTTTTTATGGTAAATGCATGCATTATAGTACAACGCATAGAGGCAATAACAACAAAGAACTTTTCGAAGTACAACAAATTTATAAACACAACGCTTAATTTTATTTCATATTCTATTTAAATATATTTTGATTTTTCTACTATTATGGTATTTAAGATAGCCAGTCTAATTTTTAATTATTATTTTATTTTATTAAATTAAGCTACCTCTTAATGATAAGGTAAATATTCTAAATTATATCTCACCAATGTTCAATTCTATATTGGAATTTATAATATAAGCATCGCTTATCGTTCTCAGCGTCTAGACTGGTAAGATCTTTTGTTAGCTAAAAGATCTTTGTGTTAGTGTTTGAAAAAATCCTACCCAAATCTAGCATCTAAGCTGTGTTATGGTTTCTACTAGTGCTTCATAAATTATTCAGACGAAAAAGAAAACATAAGAAAATAAGATATTGACTAGATTAGATGTTTCAGTAGCGCTGACATATTCGAAGAGGTCCAACATTTTCAAAAATTTAAAGTGTTCGAATCGTATGTTCGCAAAACAGAAATGGAAAAAAAATCCAAATAAAATATGAAAAAAGCGCTTGTTAACAGCACTAAGAAAACGAGAGAATATATTTCATAAAAAGTATCTGTAGAAAAACTTTGTTTTAATAAATTCAATATTAAAAAAAATAATTGATGAAACAGTAGGGCTTTCAGTAGTAGGTAATGATCAATAGGAAATTTTGTCTTTAATATTTTCAAGCTTTATTTTTACATTTGCTTCTATATTTTTAGATACATTTATTTTATAATAATTTTTTAGAAAATCGGAAAAATATAATATGAATTTATAATTGCCTCTATTATTTTATTTGAGTTTTATTTTTAAATTTGGCTGTTTGAAAAATGTGTATGCATAAATATTATGCTAAACTTATAAAAATATTTATTTGTAAATTGTTTAATGTAAGTCTGCCTTTGAGGAATGCTTGCTTGATTGTAAATATTTATACTATATGTATATATTTTCTTTCAATATTTTTATTTATTTAATGACTAAATAATGTTGTGTAAATATAATTGGTGCTATAAAAGATAAGTTTAGGAATAATATTTTTTAGTTTAATTTGCTTAATTAACCCAAATATATTTAATTCTTAAAAGTTGTCACAGCAAAATAATTTTACAAAAGACAATATGATTTATATATATGAAGAACACCAGTCACACTTTTTCTTTTAGAGGAACTATGCAAAATAAATCAAAATTAATATATTTATTATTTTATGCAAAAGCTTAATAAATAGAATTAATTACTGAACGTTGCACTTAAAGGTTAATTTGGGTTGCTAGGATGATCGTAGCCATTCACTTAGACTAGTCAATCTATTGTTTTATTGTATAAATTTCGGAAGATTTAAACCTATTGCAAACCTTTAAGAAAGCCTATGAGGCTCCTCAAGAGTATGTCTTTTAGCAGATAAAGATTCTCTAAAAAGTAAGTCTCAATAGAACGTTCTTAAAAAGTTCAGGATCAGCGGGCTTCTAAATAAATGCGTCTTCATTCATATGAAAAAAGGATACAAATAAAAAATTCATACAAATAAATAACAATTATTTTATTTTGACAATTAAAAATAACTAATGAATAAATAGGAACAAAAAAGGTACCTCCAAGGCTGTTCCTGATGTGTCTGTTTAAATTATAGTTAAAAAAAATTATATATCGAATATCTATTTTTCAAGTTATTTATATTAGGATTACATAAACATTTGAAAACTGTGTCTCTAAGGTCCAACAGCTTGTTATGGATCATTTTTGATAATAAATATGGTAAAATGTCTACACTGGAATTGATTAAACTCAGTTGATAAAATTATTTTAATTTTAATATAAATTTAAATTTATTCCTATAAGTTATAATTTTTAATTTATGTTGACAAGATATTCCACAATATAATATATAGACTTAAATTTAAGAAGAGCTAAGACACATAAACTCGTGTAATATATTCATATATATTATCTATGAAGAGAAATTTTGAAAACATCACTTTTCATTTCGAAACCTACTCTCAGTTTTCTTAATTAGTCAGAAAGGTGATCTTAACCCCTAACAGCCAATACTTGTACTGTGTATCTAGAGGCCAGGAACAGTTGGTTCTATTTTTTGGAGCCATTCGTCCACCCTGTTGATCAATAGTCGCACACCACCTCAAACAAGGACTATACCACGAGATATATGTTTTTTTTGGACGTACCTGTATCTACAAAAGGAGGACAATATATTATATAAAAGTACTTAAATATATATTTAAATAGTAGTTAAGAGAGATTTATAAAAAGTTCTTAAATAACACATCCTCTTAAACAAAATTTTAATAAATTCAATCATTCGGAAGTGAAGCTAATAAATTTTAGTTTTTAAACTAGTACAGATAGTACAGATAAGATTCCTTTTCTATACCATAGTATATCAAACCAAATCTGCGTGTCACCGCAGACACCTACATATGTGGTTGGTGTTAGACATATGTAGATAAATTGTCTGTGGTATAAATACGAATTTATCTGTTGATAATCAAATTCTATAGCCTTTTCACTTATTGCAGTTACATAAAAATCAGTATTGCTCTGAAAATAAAATAAAAAAAAAATTTATGAATACTCGCTTTACTTTTTATTTGCACCTATATATATATATATGTCTATGCAACTGGTATTTTGAATGTGTTTTTTTAAATAATTGTTTTGCACCCTTCTATGTAATATCCGAATACTCAAACTATATATCATACAAGTATGTTTAATATTGTGTGTCTAAAATTACAGACAACGTTTGGAATTGATGCGTGAAATGTATCACAATGAAGCTGAGCTTAGCCCAACTTCTCCAGACTATAACGTAGAAAGTTTGACTGGTAGTGATCCATTTTATGATCGTTTTCCATGGTTCCGTATGGTGGGACGTTCTTTCATTTACTTGAGCAACTTGCTTTATCCTGTGCCTTTGGTACATAAAGTGGCTATAGTAAATGAACGTGGTGATGTACGTGGCTATTTACGTATTGCCGTGCAGCCTGTTTTGGTAATTTAATTATGAGAGTTACTATAACTTAAATAGTCTAATAAACTATTCTCATTAAGGATGAGGAATCAATTGATTTTAATAATGGCGTCGCACAATCGGCGCGCCTAATATTTAACGAAGATGATGCTAAACCCAAATACCGTGCTTTGAATGAAAAAGATGATGTTCAACGTTATATTGAGAATGGTGGATTGGATAGTAAACTTGAAGGTTAGGCTGATGTTTTATATTTTTATATGCAGTCCATTGCCACTTAAATTTTTAATTTTTTTAATGAATATATTTTCAATTGCATTATTGAATTTATAGAACTTGAAGATGCTGACTCTGGACGTGGCATTGATTCGAACTCAGCTTCTGAGTGTCAAGAAGCTAATGAAGAACCTGGTGAGCATTTACAGGTCGGAAAACAGTTCACATTCCGCGTTACTGTCTTGCAGGCAACTGGTATTGGTGCAGAGTATGCCGATATATTCTGCCAGTTTAAGTAAGAGCAGACTCAGAGATTTTTTATATTTTTAATTCTATTCATTATTATTAAATTATTTCAGCTTCTTACATCGTCACGAAGAGGCATTCTCTACTGAACCTGTGAAAAATTCAGGTTCCGGTGCACCTCTCGCATTTTATCACGTGCAAAATGTATGTTTATAGTAAATTCTTTTGGGTGTATGAATTTTGAGTGTTTAATATTGGTGTATTTATAGATAACTGTAACGGTTACCAAATCATTTATTGAATATCTAAAATCCCAGCCCATTATGTTTAAAATATTTGGTCACTATCAGTCACATCCATTGCACAAGGACGCCAAACAAGAGTTTATTTCACGACCACCACCAAGACGTATGTTACCTCCAAGCATTCCAATAAGTCAACCAGTACGTAGCCCCAAATTTGGACCTCTACCCTGTCCACCATCATCTACAGTCTTAGCTAAACATGATGTCTTGGTGTGGTTTGAAATATGTGAACTGGCTCCTAATGGCGAATATGTGCCATCGGTAAGTTATTAAAAAACCTATACGATATATACGGTATAGTAAAATATTCGTAAAAACTTTATACGTACAGGTGGTTGAACATAGCGATGATCTTCCATGCCGAGGATTATTCCTTTTGCATCAAGGCATTCAACGACGCATACGCATTACAATTGTGCACGAACCTACAGCTGAAGTTAAATGGAAAGATATTAGAGAATTAGTAGTGGGACGTATAAGAAACACACCAGAATCTTCCGATGACCTTGACGAAGATGCTTGTGTACTTTCATTGGGTCTCTTTCCCGGTGAAGTGTTGGATGTACCCGGGGATGATCGTTCGTTTTATCGTTTCGAGGCTGCTTGGGACTCTAGCTTACATAACTCAGCATTACTTAATCGTGTCACACAGGCTGGAGAGACTATATATATAACGTTAAGTGCATATTTGGAGGTAATTATACTCAATCGATATTTGGAATATATTAATTTCTTATCAATATATGTAAACGTTTACGTTTACAGCTGGAAAATTGTGCACGGCCAGCTATTATAACCAAAGACTTGAGCATGGTTATATATGGACGTGATGCACGTACTGGACCACGATCTCTGAAGCATCTCTTCTCAGGACAATACCGGAATCCTGAAGCTAATCGTTTATCTGGCGTTTACGAATTATCATTGAGAAGAGCATCTGAAGCAGGTAGTCCAGGTAGAAATTTTTAACGTAGTTGTTGTTATGAGTGTAAATTAGTGAAAACGCTACGATGAAAAAGTTTAACAAAATTATTATAGAATTATTATAATTGTTTTTTGAAAACGCTAATCGAGCTTCCTTATTTATCAATGTAAATATTTTGTTTTTATCTTTGAAGGTGTGCAACGTCGACAACGTCGTGTACTGGACACAAGCTCAACTTATGTACGTGGAGAAGAAAATCTAGATGGTTGGCGTCCACGTGGTGATTCTTTGATATTTGATCATCAATGGGAACTCGAAAAGCTGACGCGTCTCGAAGAGGTTGGGCGTGTGCGACATCTGTTGTTGTTACGTGAACGATTGGGTATGGACACTAATCCAATTCCAATTACAAAAACAGAAAAGGATGTTTGCAATTTAGCTGCACGTGCTGCTACTTCACCTGTGCACATGAAGTTTCCACCGTCACCGCAAACACCCGTCAAAGATCCACAGTACATATTACCCGAACGTGAATATAATAAACGCGAGCAAGATTTAATGACGAAATGCTTAAAACTTATACAGGGTATGTCTAACAAGGAGATAAAATTCTTGCATACTGTGAATCTCTAAATTATGTTATGCACTAATGTATTTGCAGGACGCTATAGTAAAACTGAACCTACAGATAACCAAAACCAATCAGATGTTTCACCTAGTGATGAGGGTTGCGCTGACATGACCGTTAGCTGCATTTCCAGTAATTCCATGGAGTGAGTATTTATCGTTATTAGAATATTTTTTGCAATCAAACTAAATTTCTAACGAACTTGAAGTTTTAAGTTGTTTGAATCAAAACAGAAAAATTGTATCCTAAATTGTTTTTTTTTAATTTTTTCTTTTCATATATATTAATTTGGTTATATAAAACTATTACAACAAAGTACAAAAATTAAACGAAGGTAATTTATTTTGGCTTTAAGTTTCATTCGTTACACTTAACACATGTAATTCGATACCAAGACGATTCTAACGATTTCAAAGCGCTTCAAAATATTCATTTTCTGCATTTGTGCTTTCTGTTTTTATACATTCTCGATGTTGCTTTTGTTCATGACTCGCTCAGTAAATAAAAATGACTTCAGTTTTACTATATTGTTGATTGGTATTACAGGTTATGCTCTCCTGATCGTTCTGATGCACCTAATGGCTGGGAGGCTCCTCCACCTGCCACACAACCTGCTCTTCCGCTTCGACTATACGTACCAGAATTAGAGGAGATTCGCGTTAGCCCAGTCGTGGCTCGCAAAGGTCTCTTAAATGTTTTAGAACATGGTGGCTCCGGTTGGAAGAAACGCTGGGTGGTAAGTTCGGCACAGATACTTAATTAAAAAAAATTTTTTTAATAAAAAAATTATTTTATTCTTCAAATAGACTGTACGTCGTCCTTATGTATTCATTTACAAATCCGAAAAGGATCCTGTTGAACGTGCCGTTTTAAATTTGGCAACAGCTCAAGTCGAATGTAGTGAGGATCAAGCTGCTATGGTTAAAATACCAAATACATTTAGGTAAGCACGGTTAATTACATGATGTACAAAATAGTGACAATCATAGTCTAATATTATTATGAAGAGAACAATAGCAAACAACTATTACATTTTCTTCCGGCAAACTTGTTTTCATTTAATTATAAAAATACTAAATAATAAAGTTCGAGTTCTTGTACTTCATATTGATATATATTGTGAAAGACAGCATTTATTTTTCATCCATTAACTGAGTGGTGTATAGATCTACTGTTTTCTGTAAGAAATATAAAAAGAGTTTTACCGAAATCGTTAGTCGTAGTTGACTGACTAAAGAATTGAAAACATCCAAGATAGAAATGTAGATAAGATTTATGTACCATTACCGCAGATACTTCTAAACACTATATGAAAAAAATCATAAGGGTATACATATCTATGACTCTGCCCTGTTGAGGTGGTTTGTTATATTTGAACCCATTACTACATTCCTACATGTCTTTTTATTTAATTCTATCTTACAGCTCATCACTTTCCTCATTTCATATCATTGGTGGGGGCTACAAAATCAATTTGTTTCAGGAAGTAGTCCTAAGTTGTTTGCAATGTAATTACAATAAGTTTTTATCGATCTTCACTATGTAGATCGGATTCAATATCTATGTTAATATAATCGTATATTTTTTGATTTTCCGATAGTTTTTGATAAGTATCTTTCAAATTTGATGAGTAAAAAAAATGATAGTAGTATTAACCTTATAATATATAGTATTATATTATTTTAATATTAAGGTACTAAAATTTGGGTAAGTGATCTATAGAATGTAAGTTCTGTTGGTTGAGAGGTAGAGCTCTACATCCCAATTGAATACGCTGCCTATAGTAGTCATTATTGGTAAATGGTGTACTTCATGTAATGTCCAAGCTGACATCGTATGGTATGTTGTGGTAAGCATAGTTGGCAATGCTTTGATGAAAAAGGTGTTTGAAGCAGTAGTTGAAAGTAGACGAAATAGGGGTAGACCATGTCTACATGTCCACTGCGTTTACTGCGAGCGTTGATATTTGAGACGGGAGAAGGCATATTGATTCATGCAGAAGCCTAATAACAGGTTGTTGTATCCAAATGAGTAAGTCAGGTTTAAGTACTGTATTTGGCTAAAAATGAGAGTGAAAAGTCAGGCGACTGGGAAACAGTTTACATCGCTGACTTACAGCTGACTTAGAAACATGTATTTGTAGTGACAGTGCTGTAGATATGTCCCATCATGCGGTTTCCTAGGATATATCATATTTATGTGTAATGAATTTTGTTTTAATCAGTGCTTTAAGTAACTTTTAATCAGTGCTTTAAATAGTCTTTAAATATATGACGTGTTTAGAATATTTTGGCATTATTATTCTCTGCCAATTATTTTATATTGTCATGTTATGTATTTCATATCAATATTATTAATATTAGTATTAAATTGTTAAAAATGTTTTATTCCATCCGTTCACTGTCATTAATATTGTTTGAATCTTTCAGTGTGGTAACCAAGCATCGTGGATATTTGTTACAAACTTTAGCAGATAAGGAAGTACATGATTGGCTCTATGCTATAAATCCATTGTTGGCTGGACAAATAAGGTTAATGTCAAAACTTTAAAAAGAAATATTATTTAAAAGGCAATTATTATATTTGAATGTTGCAGGTCAAGACTGGCACGACGCACATTGGAGACTGCATCACAAACAGCATCTCAAATACAAGCAACAACAACTACAAATTCGTCAAATACCAATAAATGAGATACAATAACGATGGAGTCCGTCTTAGTGTATTAGCTAGAAAAAATGTTTCTGTTAACTAGAACAATAAATTATGTTAAGATAGTTGAAGGCAAATTTAAATATTACGAAAAAAACACATAAATTTAATTTATTAACCTATATCTGATATATAAGAATATAAGAAATATTGAAATTTGATAAGTTAAACAGAAACATTTAAAAGTTACACGACGGATTTCATCCACGTTAATAAGAAGAGTATTTGAAAGCTTAAGGAGAACTGTAGTTTGTAACAGTTAAGGACATTTAGGTGCATAGTTGTCAGTTTTCAGTTGTCAGTTGTCAGTAAATTAAAGATTAAAGTTGTATCTTTAATAGGTAGTAGCAGCCTGAGATGAATTATTATGAGATTAATTATAAAAGTGTAGTACTATTTGTATTCTTATTATTTCATTTACAACTTAACTTTTACATTCTAATTGTATCTAGATGATAGAGTAAGAAAATAGTAAAATAGTAAACAAAGTATTTATAAAATTATTACTTTATATATTTTTTATATTATTTATTTTTTTCAAAATAGGCAAATTTTTTATTAAATCTTTATAAGTTATTTGTATTTAAATTTTAAATTTTGTTAGACATGTTATTATGTAAATAGTATATCAATTAATTATGCAGTTAATTTTGTTTTGTTTTCTGTATAGATTTTTCTAATTATACAAATATATGTGTACAATATTTTATATATTTACATATATATTGTTATAATACCTAATTATTCTGGTAACCTACAAGAGATTTGCCAGCAATGTTTAGCACGACTTGTAGTGTTATAATATTTATATCACATTTCTTTTTATATACAGACAATATTTGTTACCAAACCAACAGTTTACATATATATTCATTTATTTTATATATATACTCTAAAAACAAAATTTCGACTTATTGTAATTATATATAGAGAAGAAAATGAAGCATAAATGAACGAAACACAAATATTGCACTTATATAAATTCTATGTAATTTATTTTCATTTTATATAAATTATTAATAATTAAATGTTTGAAAAGTGTAAAAAGCTAAATTTTAACTTAATAGCAATTCATATATATATGTATAGTTAATGCTTTATATATTTTATTTACGATATTATTTACAATTACAAAGATTATACACAATGTTATTTTCAAGAATTTACATTTAAATGTGTTTATAAAACTTAATAGTATTATTCAAGTGTTTCTCAAATATGTATATATATAAATATATATATGCAATATATATTTTAATGTGTATACTTAAATATATACGTACATATATAATATCTACTGCACTTATATGCATTATAAAATCGAATATATAATGGTGGACTCGTATCAATAAGATATAACATGTAAAAATATTTAATAAGTACAAGAAAATTTGAATAATTAATTGTTTAGCTTTTGAATAAGATAATAGTCGTAATGGAGTAATATGTGAGTTAATATAAAGGCTTAATAGTCAGGACCACTTGTAATGAAAATAATGTCTTACTCAACGAAGAATTTAAAATGAAGTCTTAAATGTGTTTGGAATAGTTTCTTCTACAGTTTCTTCATAGTATTCACAGCAAAAGAGAAAAAAAGAGAAAAAGTTTATTAATGGAAATTTGAAACTTTTTGAATAAACTAAAAGAAAGCTGAAACCTTTATTTCAATATATTAGTGAAATTAGTGAAATTAATCATATCAGAGTAATCAAAATGCTTTTTGTGATTTCATTTATTTTGCATGCTTATCTCACCGTTTAAATCGTTTAGTACAAATGAATTAGAACAAAATAATTCAAACTAACTGAAAAGGTTAGTACGTCTCAATAATAATTTGTATAAATTCGAATAAGCAGTTACCGTCCAATTTGCTCAGGACATATCGCATAAGATGTGAGCTAACTACTTTAAATACCCACACAGACGGTTACGTACTACAGCTAAAAAAATAAGTTTTATAATAATCTTCGAGCCGAGTACAGTATTATATATTAAACTAAACAAAACTAATGAAAACCCCATATAAGAGCTTCCTATATTCTTTGTACTTTTATGTAAAAATTATACAGTTGAATATTGCTTTAGTTATTTGAGTTTTAATAAAATTGAAAACAATAAACAATTAAGTATTAAATTTTTATAAAATGTTAAATATTACCTTAAAGATATCCTTAAATGTAAGGAAGGAAGTTTATTTCTAAAACTGTTCCGACAAGTTGGCAGATATCTCGCGCAGCTTGTCTGTACGGTTAGACGGGGCTTATTTTGGTGTTGTGATACCACAAAGAGTAACTAGTGAAGTATATAAGTACAACATAATATTTAAAAAGATAGAAGTGAAGTGATCGTGATTTAGATTGATCTCTATTATTTTTTTTTTGCTGTAATTAGCAGTACCATTAAACGAAAAAAAGAAAATTTAAGCTGTAAAGTAGGGAAATATTTACCTTAAAACTACATTTAAGACTGACTTTAGTTAAGTTACACTAAAATAGTTTATAATTCAAAAGCTAAACAATTATAAAACTTGTATTTCAATGAAACCAGTGAAGTCTGCTTCGAACTATAGATTACTTAAAATATAATAACAGTGCAGAAAGGATTAACAGCAGACTTAACAACTTAACAAAAGTAACGTAACCAAAGAAATGATAATTATAAAATATTTAAAGATAAATGTGAATAATTTGGAACCCTTTCTCTTTGTCAACTAAAGATAATAAAATATATATACTTATATATTATTAAATATATTAAATAAAGGGCAAATTATGCAAATAGTATAAGCAGTCTTGTGCTGGCTTTTTACCACTAAGCAAAAAGTGATGAAGTAGACACAATAAATATATTAAAAAATATTAAATTAAAAAAATATGTATTCACATATATATTTATTCAATTAATTAATGTATTTAAATTAAAACATATATCATATTTAATTAATTAAAATTGCATGCTTTTCAATTTTTTTTACAAAAATATTTTTAATTTGTCGGCTTCTTCACTGTTTTACCCCCTTTTCTATGTTGCTCAAACTGTAACCGTTTAAATTTAAATGTGTAATTTTAAAATTTTAAAAGACAAGCTTACTTGAATGCGCTTTCAATGCAATAAAATTGTAAAGAAATAAATTTTAATAGAAATTTTATTATATGGTATATATATAAATATATAAAAATATATAAAAATATAAAATTTATTTTGCTATTTAGGCTTTTAGTATTGTATTTATGTTGAAGATGTTTTAATTTTTTGAAAGCTTTGAGGCTCAAGCAAGAGCTCAAACATCTCAGTAGCTTTCAAACTGTACGAGCTTATAAGCAATCACTACAAAGGTGCATTAAAGAAACTTATCGCATCTGGCAAGGTTCAATGGAGAGTTTTTTCGTCGTTGAAACGTTGAGTTCAATGCACGTTAAGAATTCTGGTTAAAGTTCTTATTAGGAAAATGAAATATGTCTTAAGAATTGTTAAGGAAATTATAATTATAGTTTTAATAAATATTTATGTATGTATTTGTCTTCATCAGCAGCTGTTGTTTGCTCTTGTTTATTTGTAAAAAGAATATTATTAATTATTTGTAAAAAGTTAACATTTTCAGTATATCATTTTTTCCCCCAAATTAAAACAACAGGAAACTATAAAAAAAATCCATAATAGTTTTCTTTAAAGTATATATAAATATTTTGCTTCAAAACAAAATCATTTTTAAATGAAAAATATTTTTCTTTCAAATTAGTGTTTCAGTGTATAAATATTTTGAATTTTTAAAATTAATACAAAAAATTATTCACAATTATATATACACGTAAAAAGTTTGAATTACAATTTTGAAAACCGAAATTATATATACACATATATATATATATATATTAAAACTCAAATTTACGTAAATTAAAAAAAATGTATTTAAAATGTCTTTATTATACAAAATGCATAAAACAGTTATAATAAAATTAAAAACAATACTTACAAAATTAGTAAGATTATTGAAAAAAAAAACAAACAAAAAATACAGTAAGAATGAGTCAGAAATGTTTGAAGCGCAAAAAGAGTTGATTTAAAGTAATTGAGAATTACAAAAAAAAAATTATTGAACAGCAGCAAAAGACAAAAAAAAATTATTAAAATTATATAACGTATATTAAAAATTAATTTAATTTAAATACATATAAAAAATAAAACTTTATTCAAGCTAAATGTATTATCAAAAGATATATACGTGGCGTATCACTATTATAAATAAAAGGCTTTAAATAAAAATTGTAAATCGTTCGACTTTTTTATTCTTTTCTTTGTATTGTTTTTTAACATTAACAAAATCGGTCTTCAATTTAAACTTCATATACGTAAGTATGTCTCTGTTAACAATAACATTTATTAAGTATTGCTAAATGACTCAATAATAACAATGGACAAAAGCACAGCAGTTATTTAGTCGTTTATAGTAAATATAATAAATATAATAAATATAAATATAATAAATATAATAAATATAAATATAATAAATATAATAAATATAATAAATATTCATTTTAAGCCCCTCGGTACTTATTATCCAGTTGAATTTTATTTTATTTAAATAAAAAAATAGAACCAACTTTTAACGTTCTAGTATTCATGATTATACCATTGGCAATAAAAGTAACTGTGCACACAAATTCTATCATGGCTCTAGCCCAATGAGGTGGCAGGGTTTCTATACTTTTATACGATTTAGATTTTATCTAAGCATCTCCTGTCTCCATTCGACACAACATTCCGGCTCATTCTCTAACATTCACACCAAAGAAATATTCAAGACGGAATATGCTCTCTGTTTGTCGGGCCACTGCAACTGGTATGATTGGACAGGCTGCCATGATAAGAACCATTAGTTAGACAGTTAATAATTAAAGGTAAACTGTTTCATTTTTCTTTGATATGAAAGACTTTGGGTCTCTCCAACGAATAAAGGTGCAGTTTCTATTTTCCTATGCTGTACATGGATGCTTGTTGCACAAACTTGCTTTTCTGAGGTCTCTAAATTATCATAATTAAAACCACACAAAATTTTAAAAGCAAAATTCATAATTTTATTTTGATTTAAAGCAATCGATAAGATAATTTTTTCTTTTCA